AAGAATGAACGCAAGGCCAAAGAAACAAACTATTATAATAAAAATTGGGCACAAGTGCGCTCGGGTATATAAGTATAAAAATACAAATGCGTAAAAATGAATCTGGAAACTTTCCTATTCGGCCTATTATCGATAATTAGTTGTTTACACTTTTATATGGAAGTGCGTCGCAATACATTTGCATGCTATTTCTAAGTAACGTTAAATTGTGGAAAAGGGACTTTTGTGGTTTGAGTGTTTTCATTGTCATGCTAAGCGTGATTTTTTTATCCCTGCGATGTTAAGGTACTATGGTAAATGTGAAATTTAGTTATGCTAAAAATGATTTTTTTTAATAAGTAAATTTCCTGCTTAATATTGATGTTTTTTTGTTATTTAAATTATGGATAGCCATGCAAGATTGCGTCCTTTTTCTGATAGAAATAGTATAATATTTAGTAAAATGAAACATTCGAAAAAATCAGTGTAAGTAAGAAAACAAATATGTACTATAAAATTGTTTATGTATTTTTATGCACACTATTCAACAAAACAACTCTATTTTCGATAGCCTTATATGGCCAAATGTTGCCACAATAAAATGCTGTGTTGCGCAACAATTTCTGAAAATGAGCAAATCCAAATTTTAAAATTCAATTATTTTTAAGAAAAATTTTAATCCGTGTTGCGTGTATAAACTAATTAAACTATTTAACAATTTTTTCGAAATCTTTTAAGTCTCATTTTAATCAAGTTCCGATTCCCAGTCAAATATCTTTTGTCCAACACTGTACATATGTACATAATGTGTATGTTTTACTTACATATATATGTACATATGAGGCTTTGAGAGCCAAAGTAGCCTTACATTAAAAAGGTGAGGTACAGCTTAAAATGCATTAATAGAATGAAACGCTAATAGCCCGAGACACGCCTGTTCAGTTTTATTTTACTCTAACAGGCAGCATCACGTAGATGCAATGAACTTTTCAGTGAAAGACCCTATTTATCAGGGACGTGAACCGGATGAAAAATTTGGTCGGTTCGGTTTAGCGGTTCGAACCGTTTTTGCACTTTTGCATTGGTTCGACAAAGCGTTTTTTTTAGTCTTTGAACCGGGGTTTTGGTTCTGTTCAAGGGTTGGGGGAAAAAAAATAACGCGCAAGTCTGAGTGTAAAGTGTCAAGTGCAACAAAGCGCAAGGTTAAATTTTAAGTGTGTGCTAAATGAGATGAGTTGCCTTTACATTTGATATTTCCACATGGTAAACAAACGTTGTAGGTATTACCATATTTAACGAAACGAAACAAAAGCGTGTAAATTTATCTAATGAAAATTGGATTAAACTAACCTTTAAACCTTTATGAAAATTGGTTCGGTTTCGGTTCGGATCAAACATTTGTGGAAAATTTCGGTTCGGTTAATGGTTCAGTTAATTAATAGAAAAAATCGGTTTTCCGGTTCAAAACCGGTTCGGTTTAAAACCTGTTCACGTCCCTGCTATTTAGTATTTATAAATCCTTCCTTCGCATATTACTCAAACAAATTTTTTCGTATGTAGATATGCTCCTCTGACTCTCATTGCCTCATATGTACTTACATATGTATGTTCAAGAGTAAATTTTCATTAATTAGCAACCAAACGGCAATTAATTTATGGATGTAACTAACTACTCCAGCGCCTAATTAATGGTATTTCAAAAAACACTGTTTAAAGTAACCCAATTCGCAATATACATATGTACGTACGTACATATGCTACAAATATGAAGCGTTGAGATTCAAACAGCGATTTATTTCTCTGAGGAATATACATAAGTTTCGACTAAATTGGCTTTGTTCCTTCAAAATATACATACAATCATACATACATACATACGTACGTCTGAGTCTGCCTGATTTCAAAATCCAGCCAACCAACGTTCCCACACTCACACTGAATGCACTTGCCCGGCCAGTGGTATGTACTTGTATACTTAGGCGTACATATACACGCATATGTTTGTATGTATGCATGGAAGTATTCCACTATAGCACTCTATTGGACGTATTGTTCCTTAGGAGTATGTGGAATATTTCCGTTCGGCTTAGCAGGAGCAACGATTGCCTTCGGACAAGCTGGCCAAGCTGAATGTACCTAAGCCGTTGGAACCGGGCGATTTTTTGTCTTGTGTCTTTTCGTCGTTATCAAAATTATCACCCTGAAATAAAATAAACGAGTAGGTATAAACAATTTTTTTAGATAATTATGTAAATGTGGGTAAAACATTATATGTATAGAGTTACCCGGCGTTCGCGCTGTTCTCGGATTTTTCTTGCCAATGCTAGAAAAGCCTCCTCAATGTTTATGTTGCATTTGCAGGACACCTCAAAGAATGGCATATCGAAGTTTTCAGCAATCTGTGCGTGAAATAATTAAATTAATACATTTTAAATAGACTGAATGAAATAGGTATGTTACATAATTAACTTTTATTTAATTTGCCATTTGAACTCACTTTTTCGCCTCTTTCTTTGTCAACCGCTCGCTGCGTTGCCGAACATTCGCATTTGTTGCCAACCAAGACTTTGACAACATCCGGTGACGCGTTCTACGCATATAAATCAAGGCAATTTAATAATTTGTTGTTAAATTATAAAAATTTATACATACATTCATATGTTTGTATTAGAGCATTGTACGAGTACATAATTATTTATATTTAATACGAGTAACCACCATATCCTATGCGGCGAGTACACACCATTTGCTATCGCGACATCGCTGGCTATTAGATACTTGTTTAGTAATTGTTCAGGAAGCAAAAAGCCTGGCAATTTAAACGTATTTAGTTTGGCTAAACTAATTAAAATCAAAAAATTTAGTTCCAAAAACTAGTCTTTAATCTTTAATTTGCTTATTAAGTTTTCATTTTTCTTGCTTAATGAATCCACTTATGTTTAAATTAACTGAATTTGAAATCTTAAACTTTATGCAATAGATATATATGTATGAAAGAGAAATCTCCAAATGTATCTAATTTATAATCGCACTGTGGCAATAATAAGGCGAGTAAGTTTCAACAGTATGTACAATCGTGCGATGTGCAACGTAATCGTGCAGTGCTCTTATATGTTTATATGAACATAACATAACATATGAAATACCTCTTGAATATTTCGCAGCCAATATGACAGGTTATTGTAACTCTCCAAGTTCGTCACATCATACATCAGTAGTATGCCCATAGCTCCGCGATAATAAGCTGTGGTTAGCGTTCGAAATCTTTCTTGTCCTGCTGTATCCCAAATTTGTAGCTTTATTGGCACTCCATCCAAGTTGATGAGTTTCTGTTTGAAATCGATACCTAAGCACGCAGGAAGTTAATTAAACTGTGAGTGGCTTAAAATAGATGTACATATGTATGTAAATAGAAATACACAAAAGGATATAAGTGTATGTATATGTATATATGTATGTATATATGTATGTATGTAGGTCTCCTTATCTGGTGTCGGAGCACAGCATGACAACAAATTGGTCGACGAGCCAGCCCGAAAGGAGTCTGCTCTTGATAAATAGCACTGTTAAAAATGTGGCCAACCTTAAGTAAAAAAAGACCTGCAATCATGCAGATTTATTTCTACATATTAATGGAATTGAAGCACCAAATTAGATTTTACATTCTGAGTAGAAAGCCCAGTGTTTCGCCTGAAATGTACTCGAGTATTCGGCACTGGCTTTTGGACCATTGGAGTATTTATTTTCTTTTATTATCAAATCTCACATTACAAACTTAAAGTACGATTTTTTTGGACTAATACATATACATACATATGCATTTGAATGTGTTATGCAATTAGGTATTTTAAGTAGACGTACAAAATTTTAGTTAAACACAATGTTTAATGTCGAAAACCAGCATTAATTTGACGATATCACTTGTGTGCTGCCAAATTTCAGTTTCAAAAATTCGGTTTTTTTGGACATACATGAGCCCTTGATTTTGAAAGTGGTATAAGTCACTTCCCAGCTCTTGAACTTAAATGATCGGTTACTGGTATCTGAACGCGTCGGTTATTCGTTCAACTTCATCAACCATTGGTAGAAGGTTTTGTCATTAGTTTACGACGATAGAACGATTTGCAGATGTATTCGGTTACAAGTAACCGGTCATTTAAGCGCAAGAGCTGGGAAGTGACTTATACCACTTTCAAAATAAACGGCTCACATATGTATGTAGGTATGCACAAAAGTACGTATGTATGTACGTATCGTCGTTTAACGTACAAAACCGCGTATCGTCATTCTGCAAAACCGCGTAACTGACATTGGCTGTCAAAAATTGGAGTTCGTCACACTTGGCTCAATCCTTATCCATTTGTCCTGAAATATACTAGCCATAAATGCGATTGCTTTATAAAACAGAGAGCCATTTTAAAATATGAGTGTTTTTACTCTCTAGAAAATAATTTATGCACCCCCACATACGAGGTTTTGCATTTTGCTGATACGCGGTTTTGTATTTTAAACGCCTATATGTACATGATTGTAATTTTACTACGGCGTTAATATAATACAAAGAACCGTATATTTGTAGCAGAGCTGGGTAATTTTTGATTACGATTACATTTCAATTACGATTGCGTAATTGTGATCCTTAATTATATACGATTACAATTACTTTAATTGTAATCGGGGTATTCCATCGTCACGGGTGGGACATTTGTACAGCAAAAATAGTTTTTCTTTTTTAATTTAAGTATAAAGTACTAAGCAATTCTACATTTTGATAAAGCTACACCTAGTTCACTAATATACGAGTTATTACCAAATACGAAAAATATTCCAACTTGATTTTATATTGGAAAATTCTGAGCTGTTTCTTCCGTCACGGGTAGGACAAAGAAAAGACACTGCTTTTTGGAGAACATATATTTTAAGGAAAGTCTGTGAATTTACTTAACATTTCTATCTGGATTAGATGTTTTACTATACAGAAAAGATCCAGCAATCCCAACAAAGCACAAACCATAATAAGAATTATTTGTTTATTATTAAAAAATTCAAAATTCTCCTGTCACGGGTGGGACAACTTTTGTCACGGGTGGGACACGTACGATTTTCTTCATGAAAGGAAGCTTCTAGTGAGATCCATATCAAAGAGATTAGGTATGATAAATGTTAGAGGTCAAATACAAGATCAATTGACCTACTTTTATGACAGTGGAGTCATTGTAAGACGCACGATATACTGCTGACCCCAGGATCTATTTTAGGGGCAATAGTTATACCAAACGAAAGCTAGAAGTCGCCAGATTGATGTATTAAAATGCATGGAAGAAAGGATTATTTGCAAACGCATGAAATTTTATATGCATTTTCCTAATGCACTTCTGCACGGTGCATTTGATTGCAACGAAATTTCGAATGTGCCTTAATGATTTTCAAGTTTGTTTAGAATAGCTATGTATGTCTGACTAATACTAACTACAGGCTAAACATGTATATCGACTACTGTTATCACATAGAGATGTCTAACCTGCTGTTAGTGTTGACCAGACATTGAGTAACCGGCTTAAGAGTGGCTCGAGTTGAGTTATTTTTGGAAACTGATTTCATGGACAAATCATGCTCAAATTTAGCTATTCCTTAAAACCATAGAACGTCAGAAAAGATCTTGTGTATCGATGTCTAATCCGAAAAGTTATCTGCATTAGAATACTTGTAAGCAGATACATATGTATATCTTTGTCACTTAAAGGCTATTTATTGGATTGAATTTATAAGTTTCGCGAACTTCTAGATTTTCTTGGTTGGAACTTTTCAGGTAATTGTTAATATTGACTTTTAATTGTTGTTAAGCAACCCTCATCATAGAATTCTCTGGCGTCTCTAAGATAGTAATGCTTATCTTGACTTTTCGAGCTGGCCACGCGAAATTTTTTACTACATCGCTTAGCCCACCAACAGTATTATGGTGTTTAGTCAACCTGTACTTCAGAGTTTTGTGGCATTAAACATAGGTTTGAAACGTTAAAGTTATTTTTTTATTGTTAGGCATCATTAGAAAAAAATTATAAATGATTGTCACGGGCGGGACACGATAAAACGTTTCAAAATCTCTTAAGTAGGTACTTATAATATAATAAAAGAAATGAAATAGGGCTGCTTAGTATAAACACACTCTAGTTATGAAATTATAGAAAACTCCCTAAAGTAGTAACTAAGCAATACGAAGTTTAAAACTTTTTAGTCACGGGTTGGACATGCTAAACCGTAGTGATTTTATCCTATTATATAATTTAAATGCCTATTTTTCTTCAATGCCATATTGCTTCTTCGGGGCGCAGAAAGATCGAGACATTTATTCCCCCCTTCAAAAAAATAATAACTTTGTGAATACTTGATTTTGCAGAGCCTTCTATATTAAAATATTTTGTCGTATTCAACTACTTTTCTAATGTTGAAGTTTTGAGTGTATTTACAGTGTAATAAAATAATATAACTAAATTTTTTTTCGAAAAAACGTTAATTTCAGGTATTGAGCATTGATTCATCAAGCATTCCATGTTCAATAAGCTACTCTACAATTGGACACAAAGTTTCACTTACTCATGGAATACCCCAATCATAAATGTTACCTTTATGATTATAATAATTGTAATCTTAAAAATTTAGGGACTATGATTACCGCAATCGAAATCATGGAAAACTTGATTATGAATACCGTGATTGTAATCCTAAAAATTTTAAGATTACAATTACAGTAATTGTATATAACACTGGACCACAAATTTCAACTTTTTCTCTTTACCAGAAACGCCGTTATGAAATTCTTATGTAAAATCATCCCCTGATTCCGAAAATCAAGGTTATTTTTAATTCTATGGTACCGTTTTTGAGATATTTGCAATTCACCGTTTTTGCAAAAAAAAAAAAAATTGGGTCCACTTTATCATATAT